TGTGGCAGCTTGGCCAGCAGTGCGAGCAAGAAACTTCGATCATGTTTGCTTTGGCAAAAGGCAGATGGCAGCCCTTTGGCCGATCATCGGCAGTCACTTGCGGAACAATGGCGAGTGCAAACATTAGGTATGGCCTCTTCTACTGTCACCCATTGCGTGCGTGGGACCCTCTCGAAGTCTTGCGCAGCCCTTACATGCCGTTAGCGGTGTTGCGAGTGCAAGTCTGCAGGTGGTCTCGCATGTCATATTGCTTTCAACATGCGCATCACAACCTTGCCTACCAGGTACAAGCAAACGTTCCTCTACGACTATAGGCCTTCAGGTGACTTGCAGGCCATGATTTGGTTTTGCTCTGTTTGGCAGGCGATGGACGGATCTGGAAGTCCCCGCGGAAGAGCGTCTTCTGCGGCTGAAGCAGTACTTGACTGCATGGCATGTCCCAGATAGTCAGTATGTCCTTCGGCTCGACAGAAGCGCTTCCGCTCACCAAAAAAGGGTCAGCTGTGTGCAAGTTTGTGGGATGAAAGCAAGTCACTCCAAGAAATCGTCCGCATGCAATGAATGGCACGACAAAGCAAGATCGAGTTGTGTTGTACCGAGTTGGCCATTCTATGGCTCTTGCTTCTGAATCTGGAGACTTGGCCGCCGCTGATGCACCGATGCTGTATCACATGCTCAGACCATCACACACTTGACCAGAGCACATCGAGAAGGTCACAAGAATTGGCTGATTGCCGTCTCTTCTGTAGATCTTTGCAGTTTGTACGCTAAATCCGCAACAGTAATGTGTGCCGCACTTGGTGAACCTGACCTCATGGCGCCATCCTCAGATCTTGCCACAGCGGATGCTGAGCACTTTTTGTGTTTTACGTCATCAAGACCTTTTCGAGGCATGGAGGTTTCTGCCAGCCAGCTTGCGTTGCGACAGGAGGCCCTGTGGCTCTACACATTTCTGAGACTACGATGTCGTCAGTACTCGGAATGAGGCCGGCCAGGAGTTCTGGGCCAATTGCTGGCACCCAAGCTCTGTCTCTGTCTCGGAGCTTGTCTCGTCTCGTCTCGCGAGGTGCCACCGAGAGGCAGACGTGGCAGGACCGGGCCAAGGTTCCGTTGCTTTCTGCTTTGGACGGGGCTGTCCAGTGCCCAGCCATGGCACCGAGGCTGCCAGTCGCAAGCGCGCGCCGCCGGGAAGTCGGGCAGCGCACCGAGCCGCCGAGCCTGCTTGAAGGACTGCGACAGTCGCGGGACCCAGCGCTCACTTTCAGGTCGCGTTGTTTTCTCAGATCCGTGACTGTGCAAACGCCCAGCTCTCGTTTGTGTGTCTGTCAATGATATCAATTGGGGGTACATCTTCGCAGAACTGCTTGCTACCTCATCCGCCTCACTGAGATCATTGAGAGCTTCGTCCGCCACTACGCAGCTTTGGGCTTCTGCAAATTGCTGCCTGGCGCACAGCATCTGCGTGCTGAGACGAGCTGTCAGACGTGGCCGGGGCCTGTGAAGCGGCTTGAATCCACAGTCCATTCAATGCCCAGGTTGTACCTCGATGACCCCAGCGATTCCGCGGCAGAAGTGCTACAGAAGAGCGGCTGGGTGGGCCCAGTTTCGTGATTGCTTTGCTGCATTGGTGCATCTCTAGCTTTGGGGTGGGCTTAGCAGGGGACGAGTCACAGGTACAGGCCGGCTTCGTGGAACTGGTTGCAGTCGACGCACAACTTCGTGAGCAGTGGCCTTCCATGCCTTCGTGGGGTTGCCGCCTAAGAAGGCAGTAGGATTCGCAGTTCGCCTGCGCTTCATCGAGTTTGCCAATCTGTTTCCAAGAACGCGTCGGGCGATTTGCAGACATGGAGGCCGCCGGCTTGTAGTTCCTAGTCTGTCTATGTCTGTCTCATGTGATGGGTGAGGATCCGATCGGGGGTCCTTGAAGGAATTGCATCCACTGTTGCCTTCAGCCAAAGCTGCAATCACGTCCCTACCTTCCGGTTCCGGCATTCACAGGCAGAATCATGTCTGAATGCGAAGCTGAGCCCGAGCTGCAAGCACTGCTACAGGAGTAATTACTGCACCAGGGCCAGCGCTCGGTTTCCCAGCGCAGGTGCAGAGCCGGCAGATCCTGAACAACGAACACGCGCTGCGCCGGGCCGGCGAGCCAGGAGCCGAGCCAGCCGAGCCAGCCGAGCCAGAAACGGCCAGAAACCCAGAAAGCGACGCGACGTCTCACCAGGCTCCGCTTGGACTGGCTGCTGCACGTGGACAGCGACGAGCTGCTTGGAGCTTATTCGCGAGGCTGCATGTGCCATATGGCTGCATTTGAAGTGCTGGCCATGTGTCAAACATGTGGGCATGTGGACCGCCGTGTCGACGGACCGAACAGGCTCAAGCGTAAAGAGCCCGGCAGAACCCAGCTTCCACAGATTTTGCCCCTTCCTCTGCGCCAAAGTCATGCTCCCGGAAGAGGCCGGAACAGTATGATAATTCGCGACGCCACATTCCGAAGTGTAAGCTGGTCCGACGTTGTAGCTGCAGTCGCCTGGCTCGTTCTGTTCGAAGACGGTTCGTCTTGACTTCTCATTCTAAACCAGGTGCTCTTGTCGGAGTGACACGAAGACATTCAAATGTCATGCAGGCTGCAACCACTGCCCGGAAGCTGCCCAGCTGAGCAATTGCTTTGCAAGATCCGATGCACTTCGACCGGTGGAACTGAACTACTACTTGTCGTTTGCGCATTTCAGGTCGGTCAGACGCTCGAAGATTGCTTTCCCGGAGCTGACAAGTCCCGCTTCGGTCCAGCAGGCGTGAGCCTCTGACTTTCAGATCGGACTTGCTGCACAAAGCCTCTCTGAGCCAGGTTTTGGCTCGACATGCAAAGCTTGCTGCACGGTGGCGATCGGACACCTCTACATTCAGCGCGCTAAACCTGGAAGTCGCCGCTCGGTAGCACAGGTGTAGCCGCGTAGCCTTCGCCGCAAGTGAGTTCTGCCGAAGATGGCACCACTCATGTGTAGTGGCACAGGCGGATGTGAAGCCGTCGCTGCAATCTCCTCTGTTCACGCTCCTCCTCAAGTCTTCGTTCAAGCCTTCGGAGAAGGCCCAGGCCTGGCAAGTTCTCTCATAGAGATATCCAGCCTTTGTTGCTACGAAGACTTGCCGGTGAGGTTCCGGATGCCAAGCCAACCGTGGAGCCAGAACAGGACGAGCGAGCTCAACAGAAGGTTCGTGTCTCCATAGCCCAAAAGTCTAGTGACTGACAGATGCACATGCGCCAGGCTTGGCTGGCAACCAGACAGAAGCTTCTTAGCTTCCGAAAACTTGTTGAGGACATGCGCATAGAGGTGTAGAAGCCAGTCTGCAATGCTCTGCCTTGGAAGGACTCTGTGCCTCCTGAAATGGTGGGTCTCGGGACGAAACTGATGATTGTGCCCAGCATGGACAGTGTCGGGTCCTGCTGCGCTGGAAGCCTGCATGCGTCATGTCGCACTGCGAAGATCAGCTGATTTGTGGCGGTGAATCGGAAGGACCCACTGAAGCGACAGCAATCGGAGCCGTGTCCGTCCACATTCACTGAGAAGTCGATGCCCAAGCGGCAAACTTCAACAAGGGAGCCAAGGACATCCCCCTTGCTTGTTGCTTCGATGTGAATTCCAAGCTCGATGCATGAAAGAAGAAGTGCTCCCACCGCGTGCTTCTGATTTAGGAGTCGTGGCGGCTCAAGATCAGGGATGTCCCCTGCGATGGCCCCTTGGCATGTCGAGCTTCCTGAGCCCGCGACAGCCTAACGTAGCTCTCTTGAAAGTCTTGACACTTTTCGAGGCCTTGCCGAGCCTCGGAATGCGATTTAGCTCCTGCTGATGTTGTTGTGTGCGCTGGCGTCCCACTCGCACCCATCATGTTCCAAGTGGGCTATTTCAATCGGGCTGCGGCAGGACTCCATCCGCAAATGCCTACCGCGTCGGAACTACACCGCAATCCGACATTGAGAGCTTGAAGCGGAAGGCGCAAAGCCTCAGCTCTCGTCGTCCAAGGCGAATCCTGTATCTCGTTTGTTCGAGGTGCAAAGCTTGCTCAACAAGGTGTGCCCTGAGAATTTGGCAACCATCGTTGGGCAGATCGCCGCCGTTCAGGCCTGGAAGTGGCAGTGGGGAATGGGTTCATCCAGCCCTGATGGTTTTATCCAGGTCGAGGGGCAAGAGCAGCTCGAAGCGATCATTGAGTTGATCTTCCGGAAAGCAGTCACCGAACCACACTATTGTCTCTCGGCCGATCCGATTGACTAACTTCTGTTCTCAAACCTACAGCCACTTTCTCCTCCCATATCAGACCTGCGTTTCGGCTTAATGTAAACCCCTGATTATGAAGCCCCCCTCCCTAAACAGGGATTGCTACTGGCACTATGAAGGTTCTCCCCATTTTTGGGATTTGGCGAGTTTATTGAGTTTACGCATGGCAATAGAAAGTCGGTGAACGTTCTTTTGTTTGGGTTCCGGCGCTTGCTAGGGCTCACAGTATGGGGCATCCGCTGCGATCGACATACATGAACTCTGTTCGACACTGCAGGCGAGACATATGCGGATCTGGTGTTCAGCCTCAAGTCTGTTTACCCAGACTTCCCCAGCCCCGATGGTGGAAAGCCGGTGACCTTTCGAAGAGCCTGGGCTGAAACGCTGATCAGACGGGGCACTTGCCAGCTGCCTGGGACTCTGCGAGGTTTGGTCCTCAACATCTGTCAAAACGAATTCGAGGAGCTGTTGGCATCTTCCGACTCTTGGTAGGCAACAACCAGATCTCCATCGTTTTTTTACACATGTGATGTATCCTGCCCCGACGACCTGCAAACTGAGGACCTTACGGAAGAAGAGAAGTCCAACTGCGATGCAGAGGAGAAGGCCATCTTGCATGAGGGCGCCCGAACTTGCAGTGTTACCATCTTGTTTGCAGTGGCGCTCTGTTTTCACGAGAGGCACACCTGATCAAGCAAAAGAAGCACAGGATGTGTGCAAACATGAAGTCTGCCACTGATCAACCACTCCTTTGCCTTTTGCATGGCAGCAGTCATCAGTTTGCGTCAGGTTCTGACCACAACTCTTCTTTTTGTTGCAGCTTTTCCACTGGCTTAGGTTTATCGGGCATCTGTTTCTGCGACAGCTTCTGTCCACGAAAGTTGTCGGCTCCGTCATCTGCGAGCTGGTTTGCTTCGAAGATTCTTGGCGGGACCAATCAGGACACTTAGCCCGGCATCAGGTCCAGGGCGGTGCAAGCTCTTGCCGAGCCCACTTCAGATGCAGAGAGTTCTCGTCCTGTCTTCTGACAGCAATGCAGCCGTGCTTCGGCTAGCTTCACTGCAAAAGCCGTGAGAACAACATGGGAGACAGTGGCTAGCGTGGGCAACGATTTCAGGCAAGCAACTCCTTCGGGCATGTGAGCTGGCGGGACGTTTGCGAAAAACCTTAGTCACGTGGCAGAACTCCAAAAAATACGGTGTTTGCTCCCAAACAGCATTGCACCCTCCATCATGAAGGCCTTTTGGGAGAGGCTTGCTTTCTCGCCATCCCACCAAGTATGCCAGATGGGTACGGTCGGGTGCAGTGGTTTCATGACAACAGTGCCCATTCTTGGCTCTTTGCGAGCAGAGTCCCGGCATTTCGGGAATATTCACGCCCAGGTTCGGATGTCACGAAAGCTACGGGACGCAGCCCGGGACCCCGTCCCGCCCCCCACCTAAGACTTCAGATGCACAGTTGAAAGCTTATGGACGACGTGCAGCGTGGGCATTAAGTAGTTTGTGTGATGGCACGATTGAGCCCTGGACACAATTACAGCGGCTGGGAGCTGTGTGACCCCAGCGCAAAGTGCAATTTGGCAACCCAGCATTCAGGAGTCAAGGGTGCTCGAGATGCTATGACTTTGAGCACTCGGGAAAACCAGCCTTTACAGTCGGACGATAGGCAAGAGTGGAGAAGCCAAGCTTTCCACGATGCACGCGAAGATGGCATGCTGCGAATTGTCAATCAACTACAAGTAGTACTTGAATGGTGTGCTACTGCTGGACACTCCCAGCACTGAATCGATGTTCGATGAAGCGTTCGTGTTCCAACTGTCAAGAGCAACCTTGAAGAGCTGCATCTTGGCTTTTGTTCAGCGCACGCAGTCGAAGCCGCTATTTGGCTGAGTAACCGAGGATGACAAGACAACGCCCGCTCTTGGCTCAGTATAACTTACCACCCACAGTCTTGAAGTTGAACTTAAGTTCCAGCTTGGCATGCTTGCTAAGGAGGAGCATGCGCTTGAGTGTGCTTGCGAGCTGCTCCTGACAGCTGGCTATACGAATCTTGTCAGACATGTTTAGAGTCATCTTTTCCCGAGTTATTCCATGCAAAAAATCAATGTAAGATTGGCGGAAGCACGACTTCAGACAACAAACACCTCGAAATGCACGGAACTCTGGTGGGGGTGCGATTCATCAAGTTCTGGGAACGGCAAACGAAAGAACGGGGTGTCCCGGGCGGATGTGGCAAGCGCGGGACAGTGGACGGTTCGCTGTCACAGCGCGTAAGCAATTCCCTCCACAGTGAAAGCAAGATACCCGGGTGTCCGTCCCCACAACTCCTCTTGCTGCCAAAGATCCAAGGATGGAGAGCCTGCCAGCAGGAGAAGTGGCGCTGAGACTGGCTTGTGACAGACTCAAGGACTGCTTGCTGCCCCCTCTATGCATCTCTCTGTTTGTCGCTGCATCGCTCCTTTTAAGTGGAGACCCTGCAGGACCTGAAGGTGCGCAAGACACCTGAAGGCAAGAACGCGTCGCTCAATCGCATTGCTCTCGTCATAACAGTAGCATTGCTTTCATAGGTTGTGGTATGCCGTTTCCGGCTCTCCGCGAGTCGCGCATCGCTGTGTAAGGTACAGCAAGAGGATGCAGTTCATGATCCAGGACTGCGGCGCTTTCCATGATGGCGGTCTCTGTATTGACATGTTATGCACTCGCATTGCTATGATTTGGAAATGCCTTCGACATTGAGCTCCTGACTCTGCCACCTTACACTTTTCAGGATGTGTTGGAGACTCGAGCCGCCGGCTGGTCGAAAAAGGCTCCTTTCTAAGGGCAGGTAAGCATGGTGCTATGTCCGTTTTTTGCGTGGTTTCCTTGAAGGTCTTCAAGGCCTCGGCCAAGACCAAAGAGGAGCTGCGCGAAAGCAGCGCCGCTTTCCGAAGATTTATGTGCACACTGCTTTCTGCTCTACGAGATGGGATGCCCGTTCTTGTCACCATCTTCACACTGGGGCATGGCATCCGAGGAGAAGGCCAGTGGCAAGGAAGCAGTGGCAGAGCACGTGGTCACAGGCTTCAGCGCAACAGCAGTGGATCCTCGATGATTGCCTTGGAAGTGATAAAACCCATACCCACGCCTTGCACCAGGAAAGCGACCTGTGTACCTGGGCTCCAGGCTGGAGCAAGCCTCGCCCTTTTACGTCGCAACGTGTGTGCTCATTCTGCTGTGCCAGGTGAATCGTTTCTGCTCCAAATCTGTGTAAGCCAATGAGTGGCAGGAGGTCACTTCTTTTTCCGATTCGTGCTTTTAATCCGGCCTGGTTGTAGCGGCGTAGCGGCTTGTCACTTGTAGAAGTCATTCTGGCATTCAGCGGCTGCGAATGCAAGCAGCATCCCCGCAACAAGGCATGCATTGAACCAAGATCCATGTCTTCCTTTTTTTGTCGACTCCCTTCCGCCGAGGAGGTTGATTCAATCATAAAATCATAATCATTGTGTATTGTGAGCTTGGGTTGGCATTTGTGCAGGCGGGGAGTCAAGGACGTTCCAGTCCATATCGCTTTCGTGAAAGGTGTAGTGGAGTCTCCTTTTTCAAGTAGACAGTGTCACACGAAGGGTCACTTCAAGAACTCCAGTCCTTTCAGCTGCCACACGGTTACCCACTAGCACTAGCAGTCACTAGCAGTCACTGGCAAGTTGAAGATAGAAGATGGAAACAAGTATCCTGTTCGCAGGGTCTCATATTGTTTGCTTCTTGCAGCTAGGGCGAGCTCGCTGAATTGCTTAGCAGGCTGTAGAACCTGTCTCCCTGACAGCTGCCGGATTCTGGTTGGCGCCAGCTCTGTAGGGGAGATGCTACAATTCTTCGCTTGGTCTGGATCAAGTCTGCGACTTTGACCCCCAGTTTACTACTGCGAGCTTTGTTTGAAATAAGTGCGAAGGGATACGAGTGGGAAGGATCACCAAGAAAAACACAGCTCGCATGCCGAAGTAAAACAGAAGCACCGGGCAGAACATGCTTGGAATTGGCAGAGCTCTTGGGCTCGTGCTTCGTTTGAAAGACTAGCTTCGACAAGCTTCAGCCCATCTGGGTCACCCCAGAGCAGCATGTCGCTTGCTTGGGGCGTCCGAGGACAAGACCCGCCCCGGGTTTGGACCCATCTGCTGTGTCCTCGCCGGCATCGCTCAAAGCCTTGTGGAGCCCACAGGGACTGCCGAGCCGTCATGTCGAGGGGAAGGGAGGGCAGCGGTGCTACTGCAGGCATTTGCCCACCCCGACCATGGTTGTGCTGCCCGACTTTACAGAAAGTCTGTACAAAAGCGGTCCAACCTGCTTCTTTGCAGCTTTCATCGGTAGTCGGTGGTGCTTGCTTCGGTTGCTCCTGCCCCTAGGTTGTGTCTTCCTTCGGCTGCACCAACCTTTTTTTCAGCGTTAACTGCTCGAGGCTGCGGTATTCTGTGGTGCGGTCGACAGTCCGAGTCAGTGAGAAGTTTGCGTCCTTGTATCAATCTGCTAGGCTGCACAATGCCAGCGGCTCATCCAGCAGCATTGCGGGCTGTATTTTGCCAATTGCACTGATGGAGCTTTGGTGGCGAAGTGAGGTACACCTTTTGCAATGCACGTTGCTGAGATGAGCTCCTTTTTCTGCGCAAAGCAGGCATGCACATTTTGCAACCCCAAGGTTGAGGGTGTGCCAGAGACGACTCATTCGACAGATGTGCTGCAAAGTGCGGAGAGCTTAATGGTTGAAGTAATCCGGCTGTTTGGAGGCTTTCAGTGCCAAGTAGATTGTGAGTTACCGGCATCTGGCTGCAGGTTCGTGTGTTCCGCCAGAACATGGGGCTCGTCCCGCGAAACCCGGCCGCAGGAGTGTTAACTTGGCAAGGTTCAGTTCTTTGAACCGTAACGTGTGATGAGCGTTTGATTGTTCTTGCGGGGAAGGCTAGGTATGCAACCAGTGCGCATGTTGTGGCACGGAGAGGACGTGCCTTTTTCCAGTGGCAGCCCGCATCTCAGAAAGCGGAGTGGATTGGGAGTGCTTGCGGGGCTTCCTGAACTTCGTTCAGGCTGCGCCTGGGCGGATGGTCACAGACCCAAGAAGAGGGGACTGTGCAGCACCGAAACATTGGATTGGCGAAGGTTCATCTCATATGAGAACGGGAAGTCTGCTGTCAGTGTTAAGAATGCGAGGCCGGGGGCCCAGCTTCCTACAAGACCACAGATGACTGCAGCACGAAGCATACAAGATGCCACAGTTACAGCGAGTTGGAGGGCAGGTTTGTGAAGCTGCGTGCTGTTTCCCGAACAGACATGTTTAAGTGAGGCCGCTTGTTCGGCTTCGTCATTTCACAAGAGAGGGGAGCGCCGCGCTTGTGATAGTTTCCTTTCCGGTCACATGCTTGGCTCCGGCCGTATGCTCCTAGCGCTTGGACGCCAAGCGAGCTTCAGCAGCAGATCTGCGCTCAACCCGCGCGACCATCTGGACAAACCGCTTTAACGCTCGAGAACTTCGCTCAATCGTTCCTGTGTGCTTCGGACCAGCCTTTCTCGATGCGAGACCTGAAGAGGTATTGCAGGTAGATTTTTGTAGCCTGATTGGTAGCAAGGCGAGAATGAAACAGATTGGAAGCTGACTCGGGAGGGTTCCAGAACGCTCTGCTGACTTCGAGCCCAGCAGACGGTAGGGACGAAGGCTGCAGCATTGCAGATTGCAAGTCGAACTGAAAGGAGGCAGCCTTGTTCGAAGCAGCAACAGCAAGCCAGTCGGGCGCTGCGGTTAGGAGGCTCGATCCTTGACTCTCCGCTTGCAGAGCTTCGGGTTCGCCCATGGTGGATCCTAATCTTGCGAGCACGGCCTGAGGAAGTGCCTCTCCGTTTGCATGTGGGAAGTCCGCCTGGCTCGCTTGCCGCCCGCCCACTGTTCTGCCAGTGTCCTCTGGTCTTGTACATGCAGCTCTGGAACGTGATTTTACTAGTTGCAAGATCACCCGCATAACAGTTCGTAGCACCGCGATCGATGCGATGTCTTTCGTTGCAACTTCTGAAATCTTTCCATGGTTCGATGTTCAGGTGTCTCCTCAACTTGAGACCGGCACGACGAAACAGCCAGATGGCTCAACCTGCACCTGGCCGGATGCCCCAATCCTGCTGCACTGCTTCACATGAGGTTTTAACTGTGGTTTTGGTGAGCGCATTTTGTCTGTGTGTATGCGTACATGCACGCATGCATCCGTGCATGCATTCATGCATACATACGTACCTGTGTGTGCAGGCACATGCGTGTATCCGTACATTCGTACGTAGGCGTGCACACACACACACACACACACACACCACTTCATGGCAGACGCATCGTGTGTACATACCTTGATAGATGCCCCTGCCCCCGAAAACATGTACGCATGCCATGCGGTTTACAACACGGACAGTTTCGGCAAATGCAGGTGCGGAGCTCAAGAGATTTGACATGTTTATGCATCAGAGCCGTTCTGCTCAATTCCCCAGATCTTCCAACTTAGAAACATGAGCAGCGGAGCATCCTTGTTCGCAGCGCTGGGGCTTTTGAGTCTGCTTAGGCTGGACATGTTTTCCACAGCACGGTGACACCCGAGCCCAAATCATGGCCAGGCTACGGTAGCCCCCATGAAATCTGCAGGTGTGTGCAGAGCTGTACCAACTTGATTGTCTCCAAGGGAGCGCCGCATACCTAGTCAGAGACAAGCATCGGATGTAGCCGTGTCTCTCCTTTTGCTTCGGATCAGGTCCGCGGATGGTTCTACTTTGTTTTCCTACACGGCTGATTCTGGAAGTTTGTGACGCACTTGCAGTAGCAGCCACTACAGTAGCCTCATGACTCATGATGCTATGGTCGGCTTTTTTGTACTACAGATGCGACAGGCATCAAACTTCGGCCCCACCACAGGGTGCTCATGCTTCCAAGGTATGGCACGCTGGGACATCTGCCGGCCGGACAGCACAAGCCTGACGAAAAGCGCCAGATCTGGGACTGGGACTCCGGAAAGTACCTGGGAGAGATTGATGAGGTTCCTTACACGTACAATGCGCCTTGATTTGGTTCTGGGCCGGCAGGCTATTCTGCGTAAGTTGGCTTAAGCCGACCTGTGGTTGTTTGCGCACTTAAGCAAGGTGATCGGAAATCTCAACGAACATGGGCTGGCCATCGGTGAGACAACTTTTGGTGGGAATGTGCCCGGTCAGCATTGTTCCAATTCGCTCTTGTTGCTGCAGCCAGACAGAAGTTCTGAGGAGACCTTGGGCGGAGGAGAGGGTGTGATGGATTATGGTAACTTGATATGGGTAACGCTGCAGCGGAGCAAGACTGCACGCGAAGCCATCCTGACGTTCGACAAGCTTGTCAGCGAGTATGGCTATGTTTCAGACGGGGAGTCTTTCACGATTGCTGACCCAAACGAGGCATGCATGTAGTTGTGCTGTTGAGTGAGTTGCCTGCTACCCGCCATTCATTGTTCACTTGGTGCGCATCTGGTTTCCGAAGGTGTGGGTCCTTGAGATGATTGGGAAAGGCAAGTTTGAGAAGGGAGCCATATGGGTGGCAGTGCGAATTCCGGATGGGCACGTCAGTGGTCATGCCAACCAAGCTCGCATTCAGAAGTTTCCGTTGAACGACTCTTCCGTGTGCGTCTACTCTGATGATGCACAGCCCTCAGTCGTCCAGCAGAGCATTGTCCCCTACGCTCGATGAGTGGCCGTGTTCTCCAAGTTCTCTCACTTGCACGTTATCCCTGATTTGGCTTGATGAGCACGCACGCTCTCTCTGGCGCATGCACTCTTTATTCAGAAATGTCGGCCTGCCAACCTGCGCAGTGTTCACAGTGAGGGCTTCTGCAGTTGTACATTTGCTTGCAAACGGTGAGGGTGGGCGGCTGTCGAGTCTAGTCAAGCTCCTTGAGCTTAAACTTGTGTAGTTGCTATGACTTTCATTTTGTCTTTGGACCGAGCCTTGTCCGAGACCATGAATACTGTAGCGGGTACATGTGAAAATGCCAAGGTCATCAGCTTCGCTGAGAAAATGGGGCTTTGGGATAGCAGCCGGAAGAAGGAGGACTTCAGCTTTGCTGACACCTACGACCCCATCACTTTTACTGGAGCACGCCTGAGCGATGCCAGAGTGTGGTCTTTCTTATCCAGGGTCGCTGCAGACCGCAGCTTTGAGAAGACCTATGAGAAGTATGTGCTCGGCCACAACGTTTCAGCT